TTTTTTTTTTCCCTCCTCAATTGGATCTTGGTCTCAGTGCAGGGTTCTCAGCAGACTGAGGTGACAGTTTCTGATGGGACCTGGATGCATCTGACCGCAAACACGTCCAGATGGTATCCTCTGGTTGCAGGTCCTTTTAATGTGCCCAGCTGGGCCAGCTCCCAGAAAGGACATAGCAGGAGGTTAAGACGCAACACAGACAGACAGATTTGGGTTTTACCGGAGGCAGGCCAGCCACACAGTCAAAACGCACTTGGCTGAAACTAGTCGGACCTGACTAGGATCTACCAATACCAAATGTCGAGGGATATCTCACGCCGCCATTGACCCCCATTGAACACCACTGACCCCCATTGAACCCCATTGACCCCCATTGACCCCAATTGACCCCCATTGACCCCAATTGACCCCCATTGACCCCATTGACCCCCATTGACCCCCATTAAATGCTCTGAGCTGCAACTTTCTCTACGTGGTGGTCAAGAGATGACGTGCAGCAGGTTAAGCAACAGCCAGGCCCAAGGAAGAGAGAGCAGATAAGACAATACACTACTGTCTTCACTCGAATAGAACGCCCGGTCATCATCGCGGTATAATTTGGGTTCACTTTCAGTCTCGATACAGCGGTAATGACCGGGCGTTCTATTCGAGTGAAGTCGGTGGTACAAAATCTACGACAAAGGAAGAGGAGGCGGAAGAGGAGGAGCACGAGAAGAAGGAAGACAAGGACACCGACGAGGAAGACGAAGACGGGGAGAGGAGGAGGAGGAGGAGGAGGATCTTACATGTCGTACGATGACAGAGAAGATGGTCCATAACGACAGTCGTGTGACTACCGTCATGATGACAGTGATACTCATCATCATGACAGGAGGGATGGGATGACAATCATGATCAGAGGACCACACTGTCACTTGATAATCATACAGACAGTCGTGCCTATCGTCATCATAACATCTACGATGCTGATGACGATGGAGGTCCATCATGATCTATGATGATACCGATCACAGCAATGACGCTGATAAAAATGGGACGCAAAAACATTTCACGAGCAGATGGAGAACGATGGAGCCGCGACTTGATACATATTTCACTGAACACTATCTACGATAACGATCACGATGAACACTTGCTCAAATTTGCGCATCATACACGCTGTTTCTAATGTAAAATTTGCTTGCGTGTAGGAGAGCAGAGCAACTTGGCCATTGCTTGTCACACTTCACTCTTTTACCTTGTTCGGATCCTAAATTTATTATTTAACGGATTTCCCAACAAGAAAAGCGCCTATCGTTGCTTTTTTTTTTTTTTCCTTTGTTCGATTCGTAAATTTTATGGATTTCGCAAATAAGAAAAAAGATCAGCGTCGGTGGAATAGGAACCGGACTGACGATCCCCAGAATAGAAGGAGCCAGGACCAGAAGGCCCT